CAATTTAATAGAAGAAAGTATTCTTGCATTGAGGGAGTACTTGAGTGGAGGCCCAATGTCCTTCTGCTACCTTAATACTAAACCTATAAATATAGACAGGGGCTCGTACAACTCTTATCACAATCCATTCATGCATCCATTGTGTCAAGTACATTTGTACATTTGTTGCATCATCATTCTCAAAACATTTTCTATCTACTTGCGCCCTTGGTATCAGCTTCTCATCGCTAAAGGAGAGTTTATAATACCCATCTTCTCTTCCCTTTAGTGCAAGGGTTTTCACCATAACCCTTTAATATAGTTCCTCATGTTGTGGTGACCCCAAAACATAAAATTATGTTCATTGCTACTTCATAAGTCTAATTTTGCGACTGTTATGAATCGGGCAACCCTGTGAAAGGGTCATTCGACCCCCAGGTTGAGAATCATTGCTCTAGTGCTTGAGGGTCACTAATCTGTGTTCTATGTGTATACATTTGTCTATCCTATGTGTATACATTTGTCTATCCTAAATATTTCATATAAATTTGATCATAGGCCCCTCTGTGATTGCAATATTTCATTTATCATGATGTTTTCAAGGGTCACCCATGTCGTACATGGATTACAATTTAATTCCTTTATATGGAAGAGAAATATTCTATTCTACATGTGAGTATTTATGATATTTTGCTTATACTTTTATCTGTTGATAGCCCTTGTGTTGTTTCCAGCTTTGGGCTGCAGTGAGTAATCCTTCAGTGAGCCAGCATCTGTGTGCACCCTTGGCGTCTGTTCTTTGGAGCATTTCCCCAGGTGTTTGGTAATTTTCCCACCCTGGCGTTGCTGTTGGACAAGCACCAGGCCAGTTGGCTATAACCCACCAGCCTCTGGGAGTAGGATCAGGCTATCTACTCTCTTAAAGATGGATAGCCTGGGAAATTTATATAGGGTCGCTATGGGTTGTAATTAGTTTTCGATAGCAGTGAGTTGGGTTGGGTTTACGGTAGTTGTATGTTTCTTTTTAAAGAACCCTTAAATGTTTCCCCTAGCACCTATACTCTTTCACATCTCTACCAGCAATGCAGGTGTATTGAATTTCTCCACATCTTCACCATTTGGTATTTTCCTGTTTCTAATAGCTATCCAAGTGGGTGTAAACTTGTATATAATTATAGTTTGTGCTTACATTTCCTTAGTGACGAATGGAAAAAGACTGGTGGTATAGTAAAGGATACTGTTGGACTGTTACTTAAAAGGTCTGTGGTTCGAACCCGCTAGCTACTCCATGGTAGAAAAATGAGGTTGTCTGCTCCTGTAAAGATTTATAGTTTTGGAAACCCAACTGGGCACATCTATGCTGCCTGGTAAGGTCTCTATGAGCCAGAAGCAACCTAAACGCATTAAGTTGGGTAATGCCTAATGGTGTTGAGTTCTTTCTTTCTTTTCATGTTTTTATTGACTATTGTCTCTCTTTCTGGGCAAATTTCTATTTAAATTCTGTACTCATATTTTGATTGGGTCATTTGTCTTGATTTTGCTGCCTTTAAATGTTTAGCTTTAACTTTTATTTCTTTCTTGTAATTATTTTATATAGATGTACTTTAAAATTAAAATAATAATATTCTAGGAAGGTGGAGACACGTGAGTGTACAATCTGAACCCACTGTGTTTAATGTTGAGCTACATTAGTATGCCTTATGCCCGATATCGTAAGACTCACAAGGAAGACTTGCTAGGAAGAATTTTACATTAAATCATCAATCAAGAAGAACTCAAACAAGAGTCTTTTACCCAAGCCAGTTATCGGATAAATTGAAATCAGTTAATCATATACCTGTTACTGCCTCTGAGTTAATTCTGACTCCTAGCATCCCTCTAGAAGCAGGCGGAACTACCCCTGTGGATTGCCAACACTGTCACTTGTACGGGAGAAGAAATCTCCATCTTTCTCCCTCGGGGCACCTGGTGGTTTTAAACTGCTGCTGTCAGCAGCCCAGTGCATAACCCATTATACCACTGGTTGTCGGTGGTACTTGCTCCTCAGACAGATAGACTGAGTGATTGGAGGCTGAGAAAACATTTTAAATATCTCTATTGTTTTTAAGAATCAGGATCACTCTATGATAAGCTATGATTTTTCCACCTTTGATTTTTAATGAGACTAAGAGGTATATTCTTTGGAAATTGAAATTTTCATTCAATCTTGGTGTTCTGAAATTTATAGATTGTAAAAGGAATATAAAATCAGCCCTGAGCCAATTTATGTTAAAATTTGAAATCAGTTTTTACATGGTCACAAGTTATTTTTTAACGTGTTATCGCTTAAGTGTTATACTTTCTTATATTGCCATGGAGGCATACAAGAGGGAGACCTTTCTTAGTTAAGTGTAATTATGAATGCACCTGATTGTTCCTAATATCAAAATGAAACTTCTGGAATATTCTGAAAATATAACTTAGCATTGTTATCTAGAGTGCAACATTAGAATATTCTTGCTGTGTGCTCTATGTTGGACAACCTGAGTTTAAATATTGACTGTTAGACTTATTGGTCTATTCAGTTGGAAAGACCTTTTGAAGATAAAGGGGTCTTTTAAGGAACACAACCTGAAAAGACTTTTCCAGATGCTACGTTGATGCTTTCAGAATACCCCCAGTCCTGAGAAATGCATACGGAGTAATTTAAAGAGGGCAGTTCTGACTGTCTGGTCTGCTCTCTCCGAGCTGTGTGGTGGGCCCTCTCAGATGTGATTGTCTTTCTAGAAATTGTTGTCTGTTCTTCAGACAGAAGTTTCCTGTGATAATTTTGATGTCTCTGTTAGCTAAAGCATAAATGTGATTAGAACTTCAAATTAGTTTGTGATATTGTTTGCATTAAGCAATATTCTCTTGGGATACAGTGTTAAAAAGTGGCACATACAACTTGTTCTTAGAACTGGACAGAAATGTAAAAGTCACCTGGCCCAATCCACCATTTCACATACGAGAAAGTGAAGGTCAACACGAGAAGAACCATGATCCGTTAGGGTTCCTGGAGAGCAAGTGGTGCTAGTGGGACAGTCCCCGAGTTTCTGTGTCTGAGAAGTGCTATCATCATGCCGACTCTCGCCTGTAAGCAGGGAAACAGCAAGTTTGAAGACGAGCGGACACTGAAGTCTGAATACCTGCATGTGGTTGGGTGGTTCACCCATGTACAGGATGGTATGTTTGATGCCATTCTTTGAAAGCAAAGGGATTATTTTGTAATTTTGCAATTCCTACTGATATCATTAGAAATGCTTTTGTTTTGTGGGACAGTCTTGTGTCGCATACAGGGGAATTATTTTCACACAGATCTTTTTATGTGTGAGGCTGGGATCAGAGCAGGGTTGGTATTAGTGCTTCTGATTTGGGAATTAGGATAGATTGAGAATCACATAATTTGATCTCCCTTTGGACCCATTTTGAAGCAGTTTCAGTTAAAACAAAACAAACAAAAACAGTGAAGGGGAAATACATGTGGAGTAAGCCTTTGGTGAATCCCCTCTGACTGTGAATCAGGGATGTAAATAGTCTTGCTATCACACAGAGTACATTGAACAATGGGTTACTTAATACAGATACAGTTAGATTAAAATTTAGCACTCTATCATTTGATCACCCTTATGATCCATTTAAAAATGTGTTTTTAATATTT